AGCTGTTGTTCAGCATCTTAGCTGTAGAGGGCAGTGTCACTGGCCCTCATATGTGGGATCCGAACCGGGGCCCTCTGGCATCCTAAGCCAGCTCTTAACCAACGTGCCACTTGGCCGGCCACTCTACTTTTTCTTATAATCCACCCCTCTCCAATCTTGCAAAATACTAGCTTCTTATTACAAAGTTGTCCTTATAACTTGGGACTGAAATGTTGAATCTTATCATCTAGATTTATATATCTTTATGGAATTAAAAGGCTTATTTTGGGAAAGTTCTCTTTGTTACAGTTTAATTTCACAATGAATAGTGTGCTTTAATAGAAAAAAAATTTCACAAAAAATACTTTATTTGAATATTGGGGAAATTATTGAAAGAAATTGTAAAACTTACAGGTCCAATCTTCCATATACACTCAGCTACCACACCTACATTCCTCAAAAGAGAATGGAAGCTTATTTTCTATAGAAATTGAACTGGAGAGTTCTAGATTCAGGAATACCCAGCACAGCAAAAATATAGGTGTATTGACTTACCAATAAAATTTACACACTGATTATTGAAATCTAAGAGTCTCACTATTCTTTTTATCTCCAAGAACTCTGGGAGCCAGGGACTATGAAAGTTTATATACTGAAAGATGCAATCCCCCAGCTCCTTCTTCTTACTCTGTTTCCTGAATACCTATCAACCAGACATAGATTTTCTCATACAGAATTAGAAGGTAACTCTGGAGACACTGAAAGACACAGAGAAACAAAGACCTATAAATAAAGATTTTCGAGGGCCCACCATGAAAAAGCTGTCTTACTATCAGATCATCCTTTGATGAAGTCCACTAGTTTAAAAGCCCTACTGGTACATACAGTGTTTCCACTACCTAACTCTTAAATGTGAATAGTTAGCCAGATCTTCAGACATTTGAGGAAAGCCTCCAACATCTCTTGAAAAGAGACTCAAATCCAAGCACTACAATACAGGGTTGTTACTGTCATTTAGAGAAATATCCTACACACGATGTCTCCATAATTTTTTAAATCGTGGGTCATGTTTTAAGTACGCTTGTGGAATTCACTGCCTAAAAAATTTCTTTTTTAGTGTTGATAAAAATTAACTCTTGTTAATCACCATAGATGGAAAGTAACTTCCTATGCCTAACCTCTAGAAATAAGTTAGTTAGAATTATTGTTTATAACCTGGTAATATAAGCTGAACATGAAGTCTTTAAATCTGGTACAATTTGTGATTAGGGTAGTCTGTGATTAGAGTATGTCATTCATCTCTCAAATACTGACAGGGTCTTTGTGCTAGGTCTTAGTGGCATCTTCAAAAAATTGTAGTAAGCCTCACCACTAGGGCTGTCATTAAAGATTAGGTTTACATAACATATTGTGATAGTGAGTATGTTAAAGTTTTAAAAATTTAGAAATAGCTTGCCAACCTGCTAGTAAATAGTATTATAAGAATAGGATTGGGGTGGCGGCAGTGAAGACTAGACTAGAGCAAGAGTAAAACTTCGAGAGAGTCTAAGCTGAGAAGAAAGGTAATTAAAGTAATTTGAAGATTAGATCAGAGAAATTTTTTAATAAGAAAACACCTTTCTTAGTTAAAAATCTCAGCGTTCTAGATCATGGTGAAAGGACTGTTTCCTCAGTCTTCTGTGAACAAAGTTCTTATCTACCTCTAATGTAAATTTTCTTCTGTTATTATATTTTATACCACTTTAATTTATATTACTAGAGACAGAAGGGGAGATTTTATGGTGATAAAAGGGTCAATCTATCAGAAAGCAATAATAATTACACACATACTTGCATGTAACACAAAGTCCCAAAATATATGAAGCAAAAACTAACAAATTGAGGAGAGAAAAAGACAATGCCAATTCAATAGTAATAATTTGAGACTTCAGTACTCAACTTTTGGTAATGGCTAGAACAAGTAAAAAGATAACAAGGAAATAAAATACTTGAATAGTATAAACAAACAGACCTAGTAGACATCTACAGAACACTCCACCCAACAATAGGAAAATATGTATTCTTCTCAATTGCACACGGAACCTTCTTCAGGATAGACCTTATGCTTGGTCATAAAACAATCTTTAATTAATTTAAAAGGATTGAAATCATACAAAATATGTCCTTCCACCACAGTGGACTGAAATTAGAAATCAATAACAGATTTGCAAAATTCACAAATATGTAGAAATTAACACACTCATAAATAACCAGTGGATCAAAGAAGAAATTACGAAGGAAATTAGAAAATACTATGAGGTGAAGGAAAGGAAAAATACAACACTCCAAAATTTGTGAACTGCAGTTAACGCATACTTAGAGGGAAATTTATATCTATCAGTAGAACACCTTTATTAGAAAATAAAGAATCAAAAAGCAATACAGAAAATCAATGAAATTACAAGTTGGTTCTTTGAAAAGATAATACTAATAAACCTTTAACTAAACTGATCAAGAAAAAAAAACTGAGGAGACTCAAATTACTAAAATCAGAAATGAAAGGAAGGACATTACTACTGACTATATAGAAATAAAAAGGGTTATAGGAGAATGGTATGAACAAATGGATGCCAGCAAATTTGATAACTGAGATGAAATGGGCAAAAGTCCTAAAACTGTTGAAACTGATTCAATAAGACATAGAAAATGGAAATAGACCAATAATAAATAGAAGCTATTAGTAGTAAAGAAAAGCCCAGGTTCAGATGGCTTCACTGATGAATTCTACCAAACATTTAAAGAAGAATTAATACCAGTCTTTCACAAATTCTTTCCAAAAATAGAATAGGAGGCAAGTTTTATCTTGATACCAAAACCAGACAAAGATATCACAAGAAAAGAAAACTGCAGATCCGTATCTTTTATGAATATACATACAAATCCTCAATAAAGTACTGGCAAACTAAATCTAGCAACATATAAAAAGGGTTATACATTATGACCAGATGCAATTTATCGCAGAATGTGAGGTTAGTTTAATGTTAGAAAATCAATTAATGTAATAATCATATCAACAGAATACAAGCCAAAACCAGTTGTCATCTCAGTAGATTCTGAAGATGATCTCACAGAATCTCAAGCCCTTTCATGATACACCTAGGAATGGACACCCTGATAAAAAGTATCAGTGAAAACTCACAATTAACATCACACTTAGTGGTAAAAGAGTGAATGCTTTCCCCCTAAGGTCAGGAACAAGACAAGCATGTCCATTCTTGCCAACTGTGTTTTTATACTCTAGCAATGAACAATGTAAAAATAAAATTAAGTAACCAATTTCAGTTATAATAGCATCAAGGGTTGAATACTTAGGAATAAATTTAACAAAAGAAGCACAAACTTTATAACCTGAAGACTATAAAGCATTATGAAAATATTAAAGAAGACCTAAGTAAATGTAAAGATATCCCATATTCATGGATTGGAAGACTGAATATTGTTAAGAATTCAGTATTCTCCAGATTGACCTACATAGATTCAATGCAGTCCTTACCAAAATCCAGGTAGGTTTTTTGCAGAAATGGACCTTATACTTGTATGGAAAAGCAGATGACCCAGAATAGCTTAAAACGGTCTTGAAAAAGAACAAAGTAGGAAGACTTACACTTATGATTTCATAACTTACTATAAAAGTAACCATGAAGTGTGTTACTGTCATAAGGAGAGACATAAAGATCAGTGTAATAGAATTGAGAGTCCAGAAATAAAACTTTACATT